GGGGGTCCTTGACCTTCACAGTGGCGAGGTCACCATGCAGTCATGGGAGTCCCAGTCTTCAAAGTGAGGGGTCCCAGCCCTTCACAGTCGGAGGACACCATACAGTCATGGGGGGTCCCTGCCCTTCACAGTGGGAGGGCACCATGCAGTCGTCGGGGGGTCCCTGCACTTCACAGTGGAGGGGGCACCACGCAGTCATGGGGTGTCCCAGTCTTCAAAGTAAGGATCACCGTGCAGGCCCTGCCTGCTGCGTACCTGGTCCTTGTTCTGCCGGGAGAGCCCAGGTTGCTGTCCTTGTTACTGGATCAGAGGTGGGTGGAGGGCGCCCAGGGAAGCAGAACATTAACACTCAGATTGTCTCTGCAGAAGAAGATGAAGCTCCGTGGGACCAAGGACCTGTCTATCGCCACCGTGGGCAAGTACGGGACCCTGCAAGAGTTCTCCTTCTTCGACAAGGTGAGGGGGCATGGCCCTGGTGTCCACCTTGGGGGTGGTTTGATCTGCCAGCTGCGCTCGCGCTCCCTGGGGCCACGCCCACCCAGGCCCGGCTCAGACTGGCCACACAGCAGCTACGTGAGGTACGGGTGCAGCACAGTGGGTGGGAGCTCCAGAGGCGGTCTGGGGAGGGGGGATGTGCACGGTGGACGGAGACAGCGGAGCAGGTGGGAAGGGCAGTGTGAACCAGGGCAGGGTGGGGAACACGTCTGCCCTCGAGGCGTGCAGAGCTTCGCCCCCCTCCCTCTTCTGAAGTGGGGATGGTGCCCAGGGTGAGTGGTCAGGACAGACAGCACACACAGTAGTTGCCCACAGACCACAGCTGGTCATGTAGAGCTCAGGCTGGTGGTAGGGATGTGCACACCAGGTGACAGACACCCAAGCTGTGCAGGGGGCGGGGGGCAGGGGAGACGGCTGGTGTGCACACCTTACAGACCACCCCCCCTGCCACACGCACGCAGCCTGAGTCCGCAGATCACAGCTGGTCACGTTGACGGTGGGTGGGTGGTGGGGACCCTCAAGCTCAGTGACATCTGAGTGTCATGGGGGCAGGACAGGACCCTCTGATAGCAGACGGGTGGTGGGGCCACACATGCCGAGTGACGCCTGAGCCCTGTGGGGACCAGGCAGGGTGGGACTGTCTGACGTGCTCTCCCTGCAGGTACGCCGGGTACTGAAGAGCCAAGAGGTCTATGAGAACTTCCTCCGCTGCATTGCGCTCTTCAACCAGGAGCTCGTGTCTGGTTCTGAGCTCCTGCAGCTGGTCAGCCCGTTCCTGGGGTGAGCAACCCCCGGACCCTCGCGGCCCGCCATTGTGAGCCTGCCCCCTTCCTGTTGGTGCTGGAGTTTAGTTTTTGAAGAGATTAGCTGTTGGCTTTGTTTTTTTAATTGAAATTTGTATTAAGATAGTTGTAGATTGACGTGCAGTCAGGCATAAGAAATGATATGATAGTGTTACAGGTTAAATTGTATCCCCCAAAATATATGTTGGAATTCTAACTCCTGTATCTGAGGATATAATCATATTTGGGGATAGAGTTTTCTTTGTTATGTTAGCGAGGTCTTAGTAATGTAGAGTGGTAGATCCTAAACCCACTCATTTCTGAGTGATAGAAGGAGCAGCCTAGGCACAGAGACAGGCTAGCAAACAGGAAAGATAGATGCCATAAGAATTTTTCCCCATAGCAGACAGTGAGTAGAACTGTGCTCCACAGGGTTTTCAAGACTGACCTTTAGGAAGTAGAGTAGCCAGGCCTGTCTTCCGAGGCACTTCTGGGTGGACTCAAGCCTCCAGCCTTTCGGTTAGCAGCCGGGCACTAAACCGTTTGCACCACCCAGGGACTCCTAAGGAAGAGGGGAGGAACATTCCCTGAGAGGCGTTGAGCAGATGGGAAGCGAGAGGATTGGGGGAAAGGGTTGGGGCAGGGTCCAGCCGTGAGGAGGCCCCTCCTGGCTCTTCTGAGATGATGCCCCTGGTTTAGCAGTGGTCACCTCCATGGACCTCTCTTGCATTTGCGAGCTTCTACCTGGTGTGCCTACCCCATCGGCAGCTGATTGCGGTGGCCAGAGCACTGCCACCAGCTGACATTATGCTGAAATGGGGCCTGTTGGCTCGAGTGCCCCCAGAGGAGCCATGGTCTGCATTTGTCCCAGGACACTCACAGGCATCCTCCGCTTGCATTGTTGTGACTTTTGTCCCTTTTGCACAGAGCGGGTGCAGGGTCCTCCAGGGTGGGGCACAGGGTGGCTATATCGCAGAGGGACAGAGTGGTTGAGGGAGGTGCCTTGCTGGGTCACAGCAGGACAGCTGCATGACTGTCAGAGGAACTGCACCTTCTTCCAAAGGGCTTGACATTATTTAACCCAAAATCCAGGTTACTCCAGGGTCAAATGCATTAAGGTTTCCCTGTGGGCATTCATAGTAGTTACACTTCTGATTCATGAGAGTTTGTCTACAAGGGGTTTCCAGGATGGTGGCTCCCTTGTGAGGCTGGGGAGACTGTAGAGCAGGAGCAGCAAGGGGCCAGATAGTAAACATCCTAGGTTTTGGGGGCCATATGGTCTTTGTTGTGACTACTCAACTCTGCCTCATCACGTGAAAGTCACGTGAAAGCGGGCGTAGGCGATATGTACACAGATGGGTGTGGCTTTGTGCCAATAAAACTTTATTTACACAAGGGCTAGGCTTGGCCCCTGGGTCACAGTTTGCTGACCCCTGGCATCATGCCTGACCCCTTCCAGTCCAGGAAGATCACTGGCTGACCCCAGACCCCTCCGGAGCCCTGGCTTCTGCTGGGTTAGCTTGCCCTTGTGGCATGTTTCAAGGCCTTCCTGCGAGTGACAGGCACAAGAGCGCAGGAAGGGGCCTGACCAGGAACATGGGAGTGGGGCCCTGTTCCCTGACACTGAATTCTGACCACTAGTGACCCAGAAGCCACTCTGAGGTCTCGCTCTCAGAGGCCCTGAGGTGCTGACTTACTGCTGATCATTGTCTTTGAAGGAAGTTTCCAGAACTCTTTGCCCAGTTCAAGTCCTTCCTGGGAGTGAAGGAGCTGTCATTTGCCCCGCCCTTGAGTGACCGGTCCGGGGATGGGATCAGCCGAGAGATCGACTACGCATCCTGTAAGCGCATTGGGTCCAGTTACCGGGCGCTGCCCAAGACCTACCAGCAGCCCAAGTGCAGCGGGAGGACGGCCATCTGCAAGGAGGTAGTGCTCCCGGGGGGAGATGGTCATCTCCAGGGGGGAGTGCTGGCGACGGGGGTGGCAGTACGCCCCGCTACAAGGAAAGAGTGCTCCCGGGGAAGGGGAACACTTCTGCCATGGTCCATTTGCGCTAGCCACAGTCCAAAATGCCCCTTGGGAGTGAAGTTGGCTCGTATATTACATCCCTCTCCACCTACAAAGAAAAAGGCCCCTGTGTCCATTGCCCTGTGCCTGGGACAGGAGACTGCGTGCCAGGCACACAGCCTGCTAGCTTTTGTGTGTGGGTGGAATGTGGCAGGCAAACCACCTGGGCAGAGATGGCAGCTCTCTCCCTGCTGGTCATCTCGGTGAGCTGAGAGCACACAGCATTTTACAATGGGATTTATTTCTGTCAGAGCTCCGCTCTGTCCAGCGCTCACTGCCCTTGGTGTGTGCCTGCTTAGCTTCACCCATGACAGGTTTTTCAGGGTTAGTAGATGGACCATGAGGGAGCCCTGGTGGCACATTGGCTAAATGCTCAGCTACTAACCAAAAGTTTGGTGGTTCGAACCCACCCGGTGGCTCTACAGGAGAAAGGCCTGATGATCTGCTCCCTTAAAGATTATAGCCTAGAAAACTGTGGAGCAGTTCTGTTCTGTAACACAAAGGGTCGCTGTGGGCCGAAATCAATTCGACAGCGCCTAACAACAGACAGACTATGTCAGGGCAGTGGTGGTTCAGTGGTGGATTCACCTTACATGTGGGAGACCTGGTTCGATTCCCGGCCAGTGTACCTCATGTGCAGCCACCCATTGGTCAGTGGAGGCTTGTGTGTTGCTATGATGCTGAACAGGTTTCAGCAGAGCTTCCAGACTAAGACAAACGGGGAAGAAAGGCCTGGCGGTCAACTTCCAAAAGTCAGCCACAGAAAACTCTATGGTAGTCAGTGGTCCTGTTCACAGCTGCTCATGGGGTAACACAGGACTGGGAAGCATTTTGTTCTGTTGTGCACAGGGTCACCAGGAGTTGGGCCAATTCACCGACAACTGGTTCGACTGCATTTGCAGAATTCAAGAGTGCCTGCTGCGTTCAGGATGTGCTCCAGGGGTTCGCAGACTGCAGCCCAAGCCCCAAATGCCGGTGGCTGCCTGCTTTTATAAATAAAGCTGTGTTGGCACACAGCCACACCCACTTATCTATTGTCCATGGCTACTTTCCAGCTATAAGGGCAGAGTTGAATAGTTGAGACAGAGCCTGTCGGGCCCCTAAAGCCTAAAATACTCATTATCTGGCCTTTTACAGAGAAAGTCTGCCGACCTCTGAAATACTAAACGTGCTCACTTGGCCACAGTAACGTTAAAACTAATTTTACTGTCATATGATAAAGTAGTTTCCCGGAGAATCAGGATGCTCTTGGCTTGTCTTGGTGTCTCCTACACTGGAAAAGACGGTAGATGGTTTTGGCAGCTGAGGTCTGTGGGCTGCTCATGGCGTCTCCCCTGGCACAGGTGCTGAATGACACCTGGGTCTCCTTCCCCTCCTGGTCCGAGGACTCCACCTTCGTCAGCTCCAAGAAGACTCCCTACGAGGAACAGCTGCACCGCTGTGAGGATGAGCGCTTTGAGGTACGGGTGCTGGTGTGAGGCAGCTGGGGGGCTGCAGGGGCAGCGGGTAGGCTGGGACCTCTCCTGGGTGCGTGTGTCCACATAAGGGCACGCTCATCCACCGCCTCAGTTTCCCCGTTCCTCATCCTCCCCACTGAGTGTCTTCCTGACTCCCTCCAGAACCGCCACGCCTCCCCAGTCTCCTGAGAAATGGGATTTTGGCACCTTCCCCCTGGGGCAGCTCCTGAGAGTGGCTCACTTGTGCCCGTCCAGGCTGCCCCCTGGGCTGGCCACGTGGTGTGCTTGTTCTTTTCATTCATCTGTCGGCATCTTTTTGTAACTGAAATATTTACTGAGGTCATTCTAGATTCCCACACAGCTGTAAAAAGTAACCCAGAGAGATACTAGCACCTCTCACCCAGTTTCCCCCATGGGAACGTCTGGCAAAACTCCAGGATCCCAATGTTGCTACAATCCGCTGATGTGATTTAGATTCCCCCAGTTTTCATTGTACACATTTGTGTATGTGGATATGAGAGAGTGTGTGCATGTGTGTTTTTATGTGTAGGTGAGTGTGTATGTGTGGTCTGTTGTGTATGTGAGAGTTGTGTGAGTGTATGAGAGTGGTGTGTGTGAGTGGGTGTATGTGAGTGTGTATGCACACCCGTGTGTATGTGTGAGTGTGTGGGGTGTGTGTGCATGCGTGTGAATACATTTGTTCATGTATGAGTGTGTATGTGAGTGAGTGTGTATGTGTGTGTGTGTGTGGTTCTGTGCAGGTTTATTGCATGGGGAGGTCCATGCCCACCACCACAGTCAGGGCACTGAGCAGTTCCAGCTCTATGAGGATGACTCCTGCTGCCCTTTTATACTCATTCCCCCCAGCCCGGGGCAACTGCTAATCTCTCCTCCGTCTCCACATCTCTGTCCTTTCAAGGACAGTTCCATAAAAGGGATCACACAGTGTGTGGCTGTGGGGACTGGCATTCCACCTCAGCACAGTGCCCTGGGGACCCTCCCAGGCTACTATGTGTGTTGCTAGAAAGTTCCTGTCCACGCCTGTGCATGGCAGTGCTTTGAATGCACAGAGGAGGGTCAGGTTGAGGACCATCCTCCTCTGATGGTGCCTTGCTGTGCTGGGTGCTTGCCCGGCGGTTAACACCGTCCGTGTCACTGTCTGGGGGCCTGAGAATCTGAGTGTATCTCTGCCCATCCTCCAGCGTGGTGCCACGGCCAGGGTCTGCCCCCCCTCAACTGTAGAACCCATCCTGTACCCACTCTGGGTGCCCCTGTGGGCCCATGAGGTGTCCCTCTCAAAGCTGTGGGGTTCCTTCCTGTCCCAGGGCCCCACGCCCCTGCATGGTTTACCCTCCCCACCTTCCTGCCAACAGCTGGACGTCGTCCTGGAGACAAACCTGGCCACGATCCGCGTGTTGGAGAGCGTGCAGAAGAAGCTGTTGCGCATGGCCCCTGAGGACCAGGACAAGTTCCGTCTGGACGACTGCCTGGGTGGAGCCTCTGAGGTCATCCAGCGGCGTGCCATCTACCGCATCTATGGCGACAAGGCCCCTGAGATCATCGAGAGCCTCAAGAAGAACCCTGCCACTGCTGTGCCCGTTGTCCTCAAGAGGTGGATTGCCTGTGGGCCCTGGCCCCTTACCTCCCAAGTTCACTTCTTGGAGGGGGGGACCCTTTAACAGCTGTTCATGCCCTTCTAGAACCTTCCCTCTTTGCATGATCACACGTAAACATAGGCAGATCGTTATTCTCCAGTGCAGCGGGAATTGTTCTGTACCACAGCTTGCTTGCTTTTTTTTTTTTTTTTTTTTAGTAGATTTAGTTTTTTAGAGCAGTTTCAGGTTTATAGAAAAATTGTGCAGAAAGTACAAAGAGTTCCCATATGCCCGCCTCTTCCCCCTACACACTGTTTTCTCTGTTACTGACATCTTGAGTTTCTGTGGTACATTTGTTACAATTGCTGATCCAATCTTGACACGTTATTATTTAGTCACGTTCATAGTTTACATTAGAGTTCACTCCTGATGTTTTCTAGCCCTGCGGGTTTTGACAAATACGTAGTGTCACGTGTCCAGTGCTACGTTGTCATACAAGATAGTTTCACTGCCCTAAAAACATCATTGGCTCCACCTGTTCATCCCTTCTCCCTCACCCTGAACCCCTGGCAACCACTGATCTTTTCAGTGTCTCTCGTTTTGCCATTTCCAGGACATTCTGTAGTTGGAGCCATAGAGCATGTAGGTTTATCAGACTAACCTCACCCAGCAACATGCATTTACGGTTCCTCTACATCTTTTTGTGACTTGATAGCTTGATCTTTTAATGGCTGGATGATACTCTGTTGGATGGGTAGCCACGGTTTTTCTCTCCACTCCATAGTTGTTTTTATTTAATCATACACCCTGGGGCCCTTTTCTTGCTGGGGAGCAGGTGTCGGTTAAGGGCTGGCTCTAACGAGGCAAACATGGTTTTCGGTTGGCAAGTGGCCTGTTAGCACCTGGTCCACAGATGGGTCAACGCTGGGCCAGGAGGCGACGATAGTAGAGAAACCGTCGAGTACTACAGTGGTTATGGGGGGTGGGTGCTGTTGACAATGAGGGTGTGCAGGAGGACAGGTGTGGCCCCCGCTGAGCCCTGGCCCCCGCCGCCCCATAGGCTGAAAGCCAAGGAGGAGGAGTGGCGGGAGGCGCAGCGTGGTTTCAACAAGGTATGGCGGGAGCAGTACGAGAAGGCCTACCTCAAGTCGCTCGACCACCAGGCTGTGAACTTCAAGCAGAATGACACCAAAGCCCTGCGCTCCAAGAGTCTGCTCAATGAGATCGAGAGCGTCTACGACGAGGTGGGCCTCCACTTCCTGAGCTGCCTGGGTGTGGGCAGGTAGCATTGCTCCTGCAGGGCTGGGGGACGGGGCAGGGATGTGGTTCCCAGCCCAGAGCCAACACCCAGGAGGGCCATAGCAACTCTCCCCACAGTCAGTGAGCGGCACGTGCTCTCTTGCTAGCTTGCTTTCTATCTGTTTTCATTTCTCTCTCTGTCCCTGTCTCTCTGTTTCTGTGGGTAGAGGTCTGTGTAGGTGGCCATCATGAGGTGGCATCAGACCTGCGGCAGTTCTGTGCTCAGGGGTCCTCCCGGCCACTGGCTTTCTGCCTGCTTCACGCCCCCATCCCTCTGCCCCCCAGCACCAGGAGCAGCACTCAGAGGGACGCAGTGCCCCCGCCAGTGAGCCCCACCTCATCTTCCTCTATGAAGACCGGCAGATCCTGGAGGATGCTGCGGCCCTGGTCAGCTACTATGTGGCGCGGCAGCCAGCCATCCAGAAGGAGGACCAGGCCACCATCCAGCAGCTGCTGCACCAGTTTGTGCCCAGCCTCTTCTTTTCGCAGCCGCTGGACCCTGGCGCCTCTGAGGAGTCGGCTGATGAGGACCGTGAGGGTGCCCGGGGCCCAGGCACGGAGCCCGGTGAGCATAAGCGGCCCGGGGCGCCTGGTGGCCCCCCGGAGGAGAAGGGGCCCCCCGGGGACGGCCTGGCAGCTGGGCCACAGCCTGCACCCCTGGACGACGTCTACAGTCTCTTCTTTGCCAACAACAACTGGTACTTCTTCCTGCGCCTGCATCAGACCCTGTGTGCACGGCTGCTCAAGCTCTACCGCCAGGCACAGAAGCAGCTGCTAGAGTACCGGGCCGAGAAGGAGCGTGAGCAGCTGCTGTGTGAGGGCCGGCGCGAGCGGGGCGGCGACCCTGCCATGGAGCTGCGGCTGAAGCAGCCCAGTAAGCCAGGGGACCAGGGCCTGGGGGCCAAAGATGGACAGCTGGCCAGACGGATGGCTGGGGCAGGGTGTGGCCTGTGGGTCGCCGGGGCATCCTGTTTAGCTTCATGGCTTACATCGGAACCGTCCTGCTGCAGGTTTTTCTAACTTTCCCCCTGAGGTCATTACAAATGCCCAGGAGGTTGCAGAAGCAGCTCAGAGAGGAAAGTGCATCTGCCTCCCCCGCACCCCTCACCCCCAGCCCCCAGCAGTGGCCCCTTCCAGCTGTAGTGCAGGGTCAGACCAGGGACTTGGCGTCAGGCACTACCGTGGGCCAAGTGCATGCTGTGTCCACATCTTCTGCCTCCCCTGGGCGGGCGCGGCCCTGGGCACTTGTGTCCCAGGTGTTGGTTATGTCACCATTTCTACCTGAGCAGGTGTGGCCTGGGTACTTATGTCCCAGGGTTGAGCATGTCACCACTGCCATGAGCAAGGCCTGTGTTGCGTGGCTGAGCTCTGGTGGAGGGAGCAGGGTGGACGGGGCTACTGCTGCTCACGGAGATTCCAGCTATCTGGGCAGGGTGGCTGCAAGACCGCGGGCTTGACAGGTTATCTCAGGCCCAGTTGCTCTGAGCAGGCCCACAGGATGTGGCTTATGTTGGAGGTCCGGGCTTTCCTAGGGGCCCGACACCAATGAAGGGCAGCAGCTGTCCTCCCCTAGGTGAGGTGGAGCTGGAGGAATACTACCCAGCCTTCCTGGACATGGTGCGGAGCCTCCTGGAAGGGAACATCGACCCCACGCAGTACGAGGACACCTTGCGTGAGATGTTCACCATCCACGCCTACATCGGCTTCACCATGGACAAGCTGGTGCAGAACATCGCACGGCAGGTGAGTGGCATGGCTGGGACCACGGGCCCCCAACCTTCTCTCTCTGTCGCTCTTTTTTTTGACAGAGGTGAAAACTCATATAATATGGAGCCCGGCTGGCACAGTGGTTAAGAGCTCAGGCTGCTAACCAAAAGGTCAGCAGTTTGAATCTACCAGCCACTCCTTGGAAACCCTGTGAGGCAGTTCTCCTCTGTCCTGTAGGGTCGCTATGAGTCAGAATTGACTCATCGGCAATGGGTTTGGTTTTTTGTTTACAAACCTAAAGGTTGGCCTTGGTGGCACAGTGGTTAAGAGCTCGGCTGCTAACCAAAAGGTTGGCAGTTCAAATCCACCAGCCAGCCACTCCTTGGAAGCCCTGTGGGGCAGTTCTACTCTGTTCTGTAGGGTCACTAGGAATCAGAATTGACTCGATGGAAACAGGGTTTTTTTTTTTTTCCAATAACATAAAATTAACTATTCTAAAGTGAGCAGTTTAATGGCATTTAGTCCATTTAGCAAGTTGTGCAACCACCACTTCTGTCTAGTTCCAGAACATTCTTATCACCCCCAAAAATGAGACCCATTAGCGTCACTCCCATCCCCTTGTCACAGCCCCAGGTAACCACTAATCCACTTCCTGTCTCTGTGGATTTGCCTGTTCTGGACATTTCATGTAAATGGAATCAGACACCATGTGACTGCTTATATCTGACTTTTTTCACTCAGCATGGTATTTTTGAGGTTCATCCATATCGTAGCCTGTATCAGTGCTTCATTCCTTTTTTTTTTTAATTGTGTAAATTATAACAAAACATTTGCCATTTTAACTTTTTTCACATGCATTTCAGTGATGTTAATTACATGTTGTACAACCATCACCACTACCCATTTCTAAAAGTTTTCCGTCACCCCAAACAGAAACTCAGTGCCCCTTAAGCAATGATTCCCCATCTCCTCCTCCCTCCTACCAGCCCTTGGTAATCTTTGGTCTCTGTATATACACTTGGCTCTTCTAGATGTTTCACAGAAGTAGAATCATACAGTACGCGTTTTTTTTTTTCTGGTTTCTTTTGCTCAACATAATGTCTTCATGGTTCATCCACATTGTAGCATGTATCAGGGCTTCATTCCTTTTCATGGCTGAGTAATGTTCCATTGTGTGGATGGACCACACTGTGTTTATCCATCATCTTTGGATGGACACTTGGGTTGTCTGCACCTTTTGGCTATTGTGAATAAGGCTGCTGTGAACATTGGTGTAAGGTATCTGTTTGAGTCCCTGTTAACAAACCTTTCTTGAGGGTACTTGATAATTTATCAAACATCTTAATCCTCTTCTTCGGGGGGAATCACAGATTCAGCACAGCTGAGTAGTTACAAGATGATGTTGGTCACAGAGACACGAGGAGTGTCTGGAGAGCTGTGGGTCTGCACACCTCAGGTGCTGTGCTGGGGGTGTGGCTCGGGGCCCATCGGTCTGGCCTCGGAGAGGCTTGCTGTCTCCCAGGTGCACACCCTCATGGCAGGGGCGTGCTGGGACGTGTAGACTGGTGTCTTAGTCATCAAGTGCTGCTATAACAGAAATACCACAAGTAAATGGCTTTAACAAAGAGAAGTTTATTTTCTCGCAGTCTAGTAGGCTAGAAGTCCAAATGCAGGGCGTCAGCTCCAGGGGAAGGCTTTCTCTCTCTCTGTCAGCCTTCTCATCAATCTTACCCTGGACTAGGAGCTTCTCCGCGCAGGGACCCCGGGTCCAAAGGACTTGCTCTGCTCCTGGCACTGCTTTCTTGGTGGTATGAGGTCCCCAATTCTCTGCTTGCTTCCTTTTCCTTTTATCTCTTGTAAGATAAAAGGTGGTGCAGGCTACACCCTAGGGAAACTCCTTTATATTGGATCAGGGATGTGACCTTAGTGAGGGTGTTACAATCCCACCCTAATCCTCTTTAACATAAAATTACAATCACAAAATGGAGGACAACCGCCCAATACTGGGAATCATGGTCCAGCCAAAGTGATAGACACATTTTTTGGGGGACATAATCCATGACAGCTGGGTAGGTAGTGAGGAATGGGCAGGTCACAGTGCAGCCCACGTGGCACACCCCCAGCAGCTCACGAGGCTGAGCCCTGTTGAGCCCCAGGCGTCCCCACTGTGAAGGGCCTGTCCCAGCCTCTGTTCCTTTTGCTGGTTTGTCTGCCTGTTTCTGGTTGACAGTGGGGGTCTGTGTCTTCTGATTGCAAGAACCTGTCAGAAGCAGGGCTTGTGTTCTGGAACCTCGGGCTCAAGCTGGACCCCTTGGTCTGGGCATTCAGCCTGGCACATGTCCCTAGAAAGCCCACAGCTCTGAGATGGCCCCGAGAGGGTCGGGGTTTGTGTGGGTGCCATCGTCTGGGGAGTGCTGAGTCGCGAGTTTGTACTAATTTGTCCAAGGCCAGCAGCTCAGCCTGACCTGGCTCTGCTGTGTCCGTGCTCACTTCTTTATAAACAGAAAGATAAAGATAGGATTAAGGCACATTTGTAGCTGAACAGGAAGGGAAGATAAGCACTTGTAATGGCACCACTTGAGGGTTACTGTTCCCAGTCTGGCGCATCATTTCTGCTTGGTTTTGTGCTTCCCACACGCACAGACACGCTTTGTTGGGTTGGAGTGGGGATCACGTTGGGGTTGGGGAAAGGTCAGGGTGGGGTTGAGTCAGGGTGGGGTTGGTAGGTTTGGGTTGGGTCAGATTTGGGGTTCGGATGGGATTGGGTGGAATTGAGTTGGATTATTGTTGGGTTGGGGTCAGGTTTGGGTGGGGTTGGGTTGGATTAATTGTGGTGGGTTGGAATTGGGGTCAGGTTGGAATGGGGTTAAGTTGGGTTGGGTTAGGGTTGGGGTCCAGTTGGATTGGGGTTGGGTGGGGTTGGGTTGGGATTGGGTTGGATTGGTTGGGGTTGGATTGGACAGTTGGAGTTGGGATCGAGTTGGGTTGGGTTGACGGTTGGGGTTGGGGTCAGGTTGGGTGGGGTTGGGTTAGATGATTAGGGTTGGAGTAAACAGTTGAGGTGGGTTGGGTTGGGTTGGGTTGGGTCAGGTATCAGGTGGGGTTTTGGGTCAGGTTGCACACAGTGCAAGGTCACCCTGTGCAGCTCGATTGGGCTCCTGGCCTTCATTCCCACGTCAGACCTGTTCGTTGTGATGTTTCTGGCTTTTGCCGCCCTCCCCTCTGGGTAGGGCAGGGTCTCCCATTCCCACAAGAGATGGGGTGGTGGGCTTCCCTGCTAGCTTGGCGGGCACTCACCCTCACTGCCTTTCTCCCCTGCCAGCTGCACCACCTGGTGAGCGATGATGTGTGTCTGAAGGTGGTGGAGCTCTACCTGAATGAGAAGAAGCGCGGGGCTGCTGGTGGGAACCTGTCCTCGCGATGTGTCCGTGCTTCTCGTGAGACCAGCTACCAGTGGAGGGCAGAGCGGTGCATGGCTGATGAGAACTGCTTCAAGGTGGGCAAGGCAAGGGGAGCAGGGGTCAGAGGGCAAGGAAGGGCCCAAGCACAGGGCCAGAGTCAAATCCACCTGGTAAGTGTCAACACCACACGTACCCTGTGCCTAGCCCCTGGTCTCCCTGTCGCTGGGATGGTGGCTTCAGCTACATGTGGGGCTGTGAGGAGGCCTGGGGGCACAGTCCGTCGTACTGGGTTGTTCTGGGGGCTTCAGGCAGTTCATGTGACCTTGTCCACAGGTGATGTTCCTCCAGCGCAAAGGGCAGGTGATCATGACCATCGAGCTCCTGGACACCGAGGAGGCCCAGACAGATGACCCTGTGGAGGTACAGGTCAGTAAGGTCCCCCGAAACGTCCCTGTCACACCACACCCTCAGGGTGAACGTTCCATGGGGAGGTCCCAGAGGGTGGAGGATGGTGTCCACAGAGGGGCCGTGCCTGGGCGTGGGGAGTTATGGTGCCCGGCCCCCCCCCCTCACCCCGCAGCACCTGTCAAGCTACGTGGAGCAGTATGTGGGCACGGAGGGCACTGCCAGCTCACCGAGTGAGGGCTTCCTGCTGAAGCCGGTGTTCCTGCAAAGGTGAGAGGACCCGCCCACCCTGGTGATCCCTGGGTGGTAAGGGGGCCGGGGCGCCCAGGGAATGGGGGCTCAGCCCAAGGCTTCAGAGGCTTGGAGGAGAAGCTACAGCAAGTAGAGCAATCAGACCAGAGGTGCAGGGCCGGCGGGTCTTGGAGCGTCTGTGGCCAGGCTAAGAAGGTGGACTTGGGACCTAGATCCATGGGGTCTGGGTGCTGGGGGAGACGACTGGGGGTGTCTAGGGGGCTGACCCCTCGCATGAGCGAGGAGAGGGTGGTGCCTGAGACGGGTGGGGGTGAGGGGGTCACAGTGCAGAAGGGTGCTGAGGGAAGAAGAACCTGTTGCTGTCGAGTTGCTCTGATGCACAGCGACCCTGCAGGACAGGGTAGAACTGCCTCCTGGGGTTTCCAAGGAGCACCTGGTGGATTCGAATTGCTGACCTTTTGGTTAGCAGCCGTAGGTCTTAACCACCATGCCACCCGGGTTTCTGAGAGGGAGGAAGGCTGGGCCCAATTTCCTGCAGAGTAGAGGTGGGTGGGGCAGCGGCCTGGATGGGGCTGGGCGGGAGGGTATGCCCACAGCAGGGGCACACAGGAATGGGACAGTTGGGTGTGTGGGGAGGAACCAAACGGTAGGGGCACTGGTGTACTGGTGTGGTCCTGCCTGGACCAGCAGGCTGGGGGTTGTGGCTTTGGTTTGTGTCTTCCCCCACTCCTGGGGTTGGACATTTTTCAGTATGTTGTGGCCAAGAGACCCCCTCACCTGTGGGCTCCAGTCTCACTCCCCGTGGGCCACCCAGCGCCTCCTGTGGGCAAGCACACGGGCAGGTGCCCGGCACCACCTCTTGAGCCATGTCCCTTTTGCAGGAACCTCAGGAAGTTCCGGCGGTGGCAGTGTGCGCAGGTTCGGGCACTGCGTGGTGAGGCCAAGGGCGCATGGAAGCGGCTGGTGGGCGTGGAGAGCGCCTGCAGCGTGGACTGCCGCTTCCGGCTCAGCACCCACAAGATGATGTTCATCGTCAACTCGGAGGACTACATGTACCGCCGTGGTGCCCTCGGCCGCGCCAAGCAGGTGCTCCGACCCCTGGGGACCCCTGGGATCCAGCCTTCCCTGCCCCTGCCTGCATCCTGGGGTCTCAGGGTCCTGCCACATTTGTCCACCCTCCCCACTCAGGTCCCTGGGATCCTGCCCACAGGTTGGGGTGCCTGGCTGCCCTGACCCCCACCCTTCCCCCACAGGTGCAGCCCCTGGTGCTGCTGCGGCACCACCAGCATTTCGAGGCATGGCACGGGCGCTGGCTGGAGGACCACGTGCCGGTGGAGGCAGCCAGCCTGGTGCAGGACTGGCTGATGGGTGAGGAGGATGAGGACCTGGTGCCATGCAAGACACTGTGCGAAACAGTGCGTGTGCACGGGCTCCCCGTGACTCGCTACCGCGTGCAGTACAGCCGGCGCCCTGCCTCGCCCTGACGTCCCCCTGGGACACACCACACAGGTGTCTCCACAGTGACTTGCCCTGACCTGGGGCCTGGCCTGTGCCAAACCGACCTGCTTGCACCTGAGCACCCGGAGCGGCTCTATCCCGGGAAAGCTGGGGTTGACTGCCCTTTGAGGATGAGACACCGGAGCGACTGCGGGGCTAAGCAGGTCACCATGCGGGGTCTTCAGACTCTGAGCGACAAGAGTCTCCAATCACACGCCAAGATACGGGGGAGAGCAGCTACGCAGACTCCCAGCAGCTGGCCTGCTGTGCCCAGCAGTCCAAACTTCCAGAAGATTCCACCCTCCGTGGGAGAGAAACCAGACCAGGGGCTCCGCCAGCATCCCTGCCCCGTGGTGTACTTAAAGTGGATCTTCTACAAAGACATGTACAAGCACACATGTATTTATTCCTTCATGCTCTCCAGGCAGCATGGCTTCCGTGGCAGCCCAGCCTTGCCGTGTCTTGGAAGTGAAAGCTCCTGGTGACTCTCTCTGCCCGTCTTGGCATCTGCTTCCTGAAGCCCTCACCCTCTGAGGACGGGGCGCCCAGCTGCTCCCGTGGGCTCATTGTTCTCCCCCTGTGAGGGTGTGGATCTGAAGGGCCCCAGCGACACTTGTGCAGACGTCCAAATCTCAGTGCCAAGAACGCCAAGCAATGGAGTTGCCACCAGCTCCTTGTGAACGTCTCGCACCATCATGCTGGAGTCGGCTCCCCAGCCCTCGACCTCCCGCAGCAGAGCTGTGCCAAATTTTGTGGTTTTGCAAAGCAGAGACATATTTCTAGAAGTTTCCTGTGGAACTTGTGATGCCTTTGACTAGAGGCCCGGGTGGTTCTGAGGCCAGTGTGTTCTCCCCCGGGGTCTCGTCGACCCTGTTTTCCAGTGTAATCAGGCACTTTGTGAGCACTCTGGTTTTATCAGAAGGGAGTTTATTGCCAGAATTCTGGACCAGCTGTGCCCCTGCTGTGCCTCCCCTTCTGTCTGTCCGTCTGTCTCCTACAGAGCTGAGAGGACTGGGCGGGTGGGGGTGGGGCACCCAACCCTGCATGCTTCGAGGGGCGTCTGCTCCTCCTGGACACTTTCCGTCCTGGGGCTTATACTTCCTTTGCAGCTGTTTTGAATGTACATTTCCTTTTCTATTTATTTGCACATTAAAGTTAAAAATTAAATATTGATGTAAAGCCAAGAGGCCTCTGCCAGTGATTTTTTGCGAGCAAGTCCAGTGAGTCTGCAAGCGCCACAGTCCCCAAGCCCCGTCAGGGGGGCCCACACAGCCCTCCCTGCTCGGTGGGGTGGGGTCCTGTTTCCTGAGGCTCGGAAGAATGGAAATGGTCCCTCGTATGGCAGAGCTCGGCTTCCCCGCAAGGTGATCTTGCCCAAATGCACCCCCCGTCCCCAGGGCATGTCCAACCCCACACACAGCTTGCATTCATGGGGAGACATGGGAGTGTGTTCTAGAACACTGCTGCAACCAGTAGGGCTGACATGGGTTCCTTCTGCCCAGGTGTTGGGCCTGTGAATCCTGGTTTACCACTGCAGGGTTTGTTGAGCTCATCTAGGCTGGGCATGTCCTCCGGCACCAGCCCTGTGTGTCCAGCTGCCCCTGGACACCATGTGCCAACCACCAAAACCTGCCTCCATGCTTGTCTTAGTCTTCTAGTGCTGCTATAACATACCACAAGTGAATGGCTTCAACAAAGTTTATTCTTTCACAGTTTAGGGGGCTAGAAGTCCAATCGGCATCAGCTCCAGGGGTAGGCTTTCTCTGTCGGCTTTGGAGGAAGGTGTTTGTCATCAATCTTCCCCTGGTCTAGGAGATTTTCAGCACAGGGACCCCGGGTCCAAAGGATGCGCACTCCTGCTCTTCATTCATTCTTGGTGGTATGAGGTCCCCATGTCTCTCTGCTCGCTTCTCACTTTTATATCTCAAAAGAGATTGGCTTAAGACATGATCTAATCTTGTAGATCTCATCAACATAATTGCCGCTAAGCCATCTCATTAACATCATAGTGATAGGATATACAATACGTAGGAAAACCACATCAGATGACAAAATGGTAGACAATCACACAATACTGGGAATCATGACCTAGCCAAACTGATACACATACTTTTGGGGAACACAATTCAATCCATGACAGCGCTCTTGGGTACCCCCTGACCAGAGGTCCATCATTCTGCCCTTACCTGCATCTTTGCAGGCTGATCTCCAGAGCCCTATTCCCCCGAGGTCTCCCCCCTCTCACTGGGCCTGCTCCTGGTAGGGGGAGCCCTGGCCCTGCTTGTGGTCTTCTCGGGGCCAAACACCCCTGGGGCCCTTGCACAGTGTCCCCTGTGCCCCCTCTTTGGCCCCCACTTGCTGCCCAGACAACCCTGTCCACCCCAAGGGCCTAGTGCCAGCCCCCAACTCCCAGGAACTATTCCCTGATCTCCCCCAGAGACCATTGGTCCCTAGTTCCCTCCCACCTCAAGAGTCTCCAGGGTAGACACAGCAGCTCCCAGGAAGCGCCACGGCCTAGGGAGCAGGCAAGGGGTGAGTCAGGGCCAATGTGGCCGGCCAGGACTCCTAGGGGGTCCCCAAGATTCCCACCCCCTGAAGGTGGGCCGGACCTGTGATGTGATGGGATCCCAGGAAACAAGACCCATCTAGTGGCCTGGAGGAGCTAGCCTCTAAGCTGCCCCCAAGATTCCCACCTCCTGAAGGTGGGCCGGACCTGTGATGTGATGGGGTCCCAGGAAACAAGACCCATCTTAGTGGCCTGGAGGAGCTAAGCTGCCTCAAAGAAGGGCTGCTGGGCCATGCGAGCCCCCCCAGCCGACCCAGGCATGAGAGCAGGGCCTCGTTCCCCTTGCCCCTCACCCCCGCCCCTGCAGGGACCCGTATAAAGCAGCACAGCTGGCATCTTGACTGCAGCCCCTGAGAGCATGCGCTGGCCTTGGAGTGTGCCGAGGGTGGGAGGAACCGTGAGCAGAGTGTCCAGCTCAGCCTCACCAGGACCCCTGACCACAGAAACTTCAAGATAACAAGAGGTGTTGCTCTATGCCACTAAATGTGTGGGATTTCATTATACCAGCTGCTGTCGAGTCAACCCCAACTCATAGTGACACCAAGTGTATCAGAGAAGAACTACTCCATAGGGTATTCAATGGCTAAGTTTTGGGAAGTCAATCGCCAGGACTTTTTTCCGAGACACTTCTGGGTGGACTTGAACTTTTCAGTTAGCAGCCATCTCGTTCACCAGTTGCACCCCCTAGGGACTCCTGCCAGTTTCTGTTGAGTTGACTCTGACCCATAAGACCCCATGTGGGTCAGAGTAGAACTGTGATCCATGAGGATTCCTTAGGCAGAAGTGAGGGAGAGAGCCCCACGCCAGCCCTCTGCCCTCACGCCTGCACCTTCCCTTCTGTCTTAGTCATCTAGTGCTGCTATAACAGAAATACCACAAGTGGATGGTTTTAACAAAGAGAAGTTTATTTCCTCACAGTTAAAGTAGGCTAAAAGTCCAAATTCAGGGCATCAGCTCCAGGGGAAGGCTTTCTCTCTCTGTCAGCCTTCTCATCAGTGTTCCCCGGGACTAGGAGCTTCTCTATGCAGGGACCCCAGTCCAAAGGATGAGCTCTGCTCCTGGCACTGCTTTCTTGATGGTATGAGGTTCCCCTGTCTCACTGCTCACTTCTGTCTTTTATATCTCAAGAGATTGCCTCAGGACACAATCCAGTCTTGTAGATCCAGTCCTGCCTTA